TCGCGACGGTTATCTGGTAATTAGTTCCAAATCACTGAGCCAAGTTCCGTCCAAAACTTCAAATAGGCCTAAACGATGACAGACATAACACAGCAATTCGCTAATAATCAGCTAATTAAGTCGGTCAACAGATACGCAAAAACAAATTCATGACAACTAATTCACATTGACGCAACCAACTACTCAGCAAACATATGATCATTTCAATCAACCACAACTCATTTCAGCAAACCAACCAGTCGTTCAACCACAACTCATTGCAGCAAACCAACCAGTCATTCAACCACAACTCATTGCAGCAAACCAACCAGTCGTTCAACCACAACTCATTGCAGCAAACCAACCAGTCATTCAACCACAACTCATTGCAGCAAACCAACCTGTCATTCAACCACAACTCATTGCAGCAAACCAACCAGTCGTTCAACCACAACTCATTGCAGCAAACCAACCAGTCGTTCAATCACAACTCATTGCAGCAAACCAACCGAACGATCAACCACAACTCATTGCAGCAAACCAACCAGTCATTCAACCGCAACTCATTGCAGCAAACCAACAATCTTCAAACCAACAACAACACATTTACGCACAGTACAACCACCCAGCTGTCCAACCCACGCTATTGGACAACAAGCACACGCTACAGGGCAAGTCAGCAACATTGCTCCACCGACACTATTGGAAGTTCCTGCAGACGTCCCTCGGATGCACCTACAAATGCCGTAAGTCGATTCATCAACGCTCAATGCTCGCGCCATTCGCGGTAAATTCATAGATTTATCAGATTTATCCCAACTCAGGCTTGACACTTACAACCCAACCAAAGCGTAAACCAATCGACGAATTTGAAAAAGGCTTGATTGTTTCTTGAGTTATGCAGCGTATGTGTCTTCCTGCTTTCCTGATCAAACCGTACCTCTGTTCAACTATCAACGCTTCTTCGCAAGAAAAGCAAAACGATTCGAACCAGCTGCGTGGATCGCCTATGATCGAGCTTTTCGTCTGAACGCCTCAAGATTTCACGGCCAAATAAATTGGAGTTACGTTAATAACGAACTTGACTACGAATGCTTTCAGAACTCTGGTCACTTAATCTGTCAGAAATGCTTCACTTGCGGCAAACATGGTCACCAATAAAAAGATTTCTTCAAAAATAAACAGCGTTCTGATCCCTCCACATGGACCAGCGGCCTGGCTCGTGTTACCAGTTTACAGAGAGGTCAAAATTAAACGACAATATAAGTTCCTCTCAAAATAGACTAGTACGGGTACAATTTACCAGGGGTACGTCCGCCAGATGCCCAGTCGGTCTCAGCCACACACAAGCCTCACAACATACGACAAACTGAGACACAGGGTGATATATATCGCTTCAACAAATGTATTATATTTTACACAATAACGAATGCACTGCCCAAGTATACACTGGCAGAGAATAACAAGATTCCTCAATTATAATAGAGGGCGCACTAACAATTGGGTATAGTCAACGCTAGGAAATAGCAATGTTAGACCATGCGAGATTTCAAAATTTTAAGGGAGCATGAATAAAATCAGTACAAATTGAGATACTTTGCGAGTACCAATTACAAATGATAATACGTCAAAATATGAGGAGCAAAACCCTATGTAATTTACGAAAATCGGTTCAAATGGTCAGCAATTAGCAGTGTGATATAATTACAATAAATGCTAAACCGTATTAATCGCCCAGGCCTACAGCCATGGTAACGCACTACAAAGATATTAGCTAAAGTGATAACAAACCAATAATCGATCAATGACTAGGGTCACAGTATTGATCAGCTTGAATGTTATACAAGATAAATGTAATAACTCATTACAATAGTATCGTGGGATAATACAGGGAGAGTTCAATCATGGCTCACTGACGCTTCACTTTAGTGTTCTAAACGACGTAGTAGTGATTTTTGTGTCACAGTTAGAGACAAGTACAGTTGACAACTAATAGAGGAAGAACAAAACTATCACGTTAAACCATGGGACCCTGCAGGTAGGCCGGTCACACCGGTTACGAATCCCCCTACCAATCCCACAGCAGAAATAAAACACACAACATTTACTAAAAAATACTACTGTACACGGCAGAACTTTATTATAAAATATAGGCAAGGACATTTATTGCGTTGGTTAACTGTTGAAATCTATGTGGCTTTTTAGCCATTCCTTCGATGCTCACTTGAAGCAATGGTACTACAGTACCTTAACTTGATGTGCGGTGGAGCTTGGCTCTGGCCACCCCACGAAGCAAACTTGACGCTAGGTACAAAAGCACCCATGTATCTTCTCAAAGGACGCCACCCGACCCAAGAGTGCCACAAGGAAATCAAACAAAAACAGGTAGCACCGACAACAGAATGGAGACAGATTCAGAAACAATAGTGTAGTTTACAACCATCGCGGCAGCACAGTGCTTTGTTTACTGCCCATGCATTGTCGAGTTTTTGTAGTTTGCCACTGAATTCACAAAAGTCGAATTCCATCCGGAGGCGTGCCTGAATAAGCCCAATAAAAATTTGTAAGGGGTTGAAACATCCTTCATTTTTAAGTTTTTTGCGGCCTGACAGGTGGATTGCACGTTTTGCACCCGTCGCCGTAAAAATAAATAGACACTGTGCCTCACTCAATGTAAATGCACATGATTTAGGTGGAGGAAGCATAACAAACCACCATGGAGGGATATCATTATGAGCGTGGGTTAGCTTAACAGTTATATTTTTGAAACGGATCAGAAGGTCAGATATACCGTGGCAGTCAAAAAAGATATGCTACAAGGAATCCATTTCTTCACATAACGGGCACGCTCTGCTAGTCGGTAGTCCAGCATTAAAGAGGAACCCCGCTGTGGTATATGCATCGTGCATAACACGCCATTGTAGGTCACCATTAAGCTTGGTAACAGGCGGATCGTAGTCTGAATTGGAACATCAAGAATATCCATCCATGGACTGTCCACGCGCTCTGGATGCTCAGAAGCAAAGCGAACGTTAATGATATATTTGTAAATAACCCCCTTTTCCAACTTGTATAATGGCAACATCAGCTGATCCGAAAAATAGAGATCAAAGATGTAATTTGATCGGTCATAAACAAGTGGTTGTTCAACGGTGAGAAGAGAGTTGATTTTAGTCATTAACGATGGGGGTAGTGCATCATGAATGGTTTTTAATTTAGTGTTTAATATCCGTTGTGAGTGTATATTAATTATATCTGAGTAATCCCGACCTACACGCCAGGCTTTAGTATGTCCCTCGATAAGATCAACCACTTTGGTAATGCCTGCCTCCACAAACTGATCAAAAAAAACGGATCTTGGTTAATTATTAAAGATCGGTTCACTGAATACATTTATTTTCGTTGTCGATCATGTCCCTGTGATGTTTATCCAAGCTTGCCAAAAGTGAAGAGTTTCACTATAGTATAGGGGCAAAGACTCAAGAGATGTAGTTATGTTGGTTACAAGCAGTTGTTTAGTGTACCCAAGATTACCAACTTTGCTAAAGTGGTAGTTAGTGAATTTAAAACAGGGATGTTCACAGTCAGAGTAGAGGTAGCGCTGTAGATATTGAATTCGCATTGCGAAGATACGCGATTCAATGTGAACAATATTCTGCCCACCCCTCTCCAAAGGAAGGTAGAGAACGTCTGCAGGTAGCCAATGGCGCCCCTGCCAGAAAAAAATCATTCATTAGACTTTGTATGTATTCGACAGTACCGTGAGGAGGGGAAAGACTGTTAAGGCAATATGTAAGTCGCCCCTGCCAGAAAAAATCATTCATTAGACTTTGGATGTATTCGACAGTACTGTGAGGAGGGGAAAGACTGTTAAGGCAATATGTAAGTCGCCCCTGCCAGAAAAAATCATTCATTAGACTTTGGATGTATTCGACAGTACCGTGAGGAGTGGAAAGACTGTTAAGGCAATATGTAAGTTGGGATGCAAGAATATGATTAATAACGATGGTGCGCCCTCTATATAACATACCTTGGGCAAAGTGAGACCAGTGATCAAGTTTAGATTCGATCTTTTGAACGATCTCAGTCCAGTTTTTGTTAACAAATGCCTCGTCATTCCCAAGGTATACCCCCAACAGTTTAAGGCCAGAATTATTCCATTTAATTTGCAATGGTGAGTCCACACGATTACGCCACGCCCCCAATCCTTTCGATTTTTCTATGTTGATACGAGCATTTGTAGCACGTTCGTAAGTATTAATCCATTTAGCAAGTTCATTAAAATCCTCATTTCGTGTTATAAAGCATTCTAAATCATCGCAGTAAGCTGTCAATTTAGTATTATAGCTATTGGCATTAGGGATTTTAATCCCCTGCATATCGCTCTTGCGAATTTTATCCAGTAGAGGTTCAATGGCCAACACATAAAGCTGGGCAGACAGTGCACACCCCTGCCTGATACCCCTTGACAGAACAATGGGTGCCGTGAGTGTATCATTAATACGGATTAAGGACTGAGGGTAGTTGTAAATCAAATTTATATAAGAAATAAAACGTTCCCCAAAACCCAAAGCTGACAACATTTTTTTAAGATAATCATGATGCACTCTATCAAAAGCTTTCTCTTGATCAATTGCTACAATACCAAGCGGAGAATTAGTAGAATTTGCAAAATCAATACTGTCACGAAGCAGGTGTATATTGTCATGGATATGGCGGTTAGGTACGCAGCAAGTCTGATCCAGATGGACGACACTATCAATGACATTGCGCAGGCGCAGTGACAGGCATTTAGTGTAGATCTTGTAATCACTGCAAAGCAAGCTTACTGGGCGCCAATTTTTTACATTAGTGGTGTCCCCCTTTTTGGGAAGCAACGTGATTACAGCACGAGTACAAGACAAAGGAAAGTTACCATCACTTATTGACTGGGTGATGACATCAAAAAGATCTCTTCCTAACACTGGCCACATTGTTTTATAAAATTCATTAGGCAGCCCGTCTATGCCTGGAGTGCGCCCTCTTGGGAGCACTTTAACAGTGTTGGTTAGCTCTTCAAATGCAATTTCAGTGTCAAGGTCAGCCCGGTCGCTGTTGCTGACCTGGGGCAAATCTTTCAAAATGTTATCTTGAGCCTCGTTATCAATACTTTGCTGGGTATACAAGTTTTTGTAAAATGTATTTACAATTTCACAGATTTCCCGTGGACAATCAGTGAGGCTACCATTCGGGCGCTGGATCTGTGATATCGTTTTTCTTTTACCTTTTTGTTTTTCAAGATTAAAGAAAAAGGAGTTAAAAATGTCGCTTTCATTACGGTGTTGGTTGCGCGAACGTAAAGCAGCGCCCCTTGATTCAGTACGTATCAGTTGCATGAGTAAGTTCTATTTTTTCAGTACATGTCTGATTAAGTGTATTGTCTCTCTTAATTTGACTTTGCATATATTTAATGTGATTTTCAGTTTCCCGTTTAAGTTGCTTATGTTTTGAGTGCTTGTACTGAGAGTACTGTTGCGTTAGTAATTTGATTTTGTGCTTTCCAATATCCCACCACTGTTGGATTGTATTATAAGTCATACGTTGCGCTCGCCAGTTACCCCAGAACTCAGTGATTAGATTAACATAATCCTCATCATCGAGCACATCACAATTCATGCACCATACAGGATTACAGTTAAGCTGCTTCTGTAGTAATTCAATACACACTGCAGAATGATCTGAAAATGCCGCTGCTGAGTTATGGATGGATATTTTACGAATGCTGTTGATCATGTGTTTACTGGTGTAAAACCGGTCCAGTCTGACAAGTGTATTCCCTCTCCCCCATGTGAAATGACTAGTGTTACCATACTTTTGCCGCCATGCGTCTACCAACTTAAAACGCCGTAAAATATTCTCAAGAATAGAGGCCGTACGAGGATGTGGTTCAACGCCCCCATTACGGTCAATACCAGGTGAAATTGTACAGTTGAAATCTCCCCCTATCACCACAGGGTCATTGCCCAATGTATTCATGTATCGCTTTAATGTTTCAAAGCATTGGAGGCCCTCCATAGCTGTGGCAGGTGCATATACATTAATGATGTGCAGTCGTTTGTTGTCAAGTTTAACACGTGTGTGTAATATGTGACCGGGTAATACACTATTAACATTTAAAATCTCAACAATAGAATTTGGAGCAAAAAGGGTGGATACGCCGCCGCAGTTAGATGTACCGTGCGAAAATGCACACTTCCCACGCCATACTACACGCCATACTACACGCCAGCTATGTTCCTCATGTCTTAGAGTGTGCGTTTCCTGAAGCAGATATACGTTACAGTGAAATTCCCTTTTCAAGTACTCAAAAACTTGATACCTTTTAAGTGAATCGCGGCCCCCGCTCATGTTGAGGGTTACAGCAGATATGGATGACGCCATGGATATAAGCGAAGTACAAAGTAATAACCAGGGGAAACTGATCTTCATTTCAGATAATAAGAAATACACACCCAATAGTCAGTTAAACACTGGCACGGCCAGTTCGACGTACGTGTTTCTTTATTTTATTCACAAGTTTTAATATTCGGGCTTTCTGTGACGTAGTGAGATGATGTGTTGAGCGATAATGTGTAAGTTGTTTTGAAAGTGTGTTTAAATTAGGACAAAAATCATAGCAATTATCAATAAGTGTCTTTGAGTGCATAGTAGATTTCAGAAATTTTTTAATAGCGTCATCAGTTATGTGTTGTCCAGAATCTGTTGTATTTGACATATTTGACATCTCGGAAAAGCCTGACAACTT